CTTCTCTGTTTGTTTCCAACCGTGAACAAAACTCTCCTTCTTCCTTCTAGGGTTCGGCCTCCTCCTTTTAGCCGAGCTCTTTCTTTCCTCCCCTCGGTTTCTCCCTCTCACGTTCTCTCTCTGCGCCCTTCTTAGTCTGCGTGAATGGGTTTTGCAAAACCTTTGGCAAACAAACACCAGATATATATAGGCTTATAACAATACCCTAATCCTATTCATACCCGAACTATAATATAAAGGAAAAATAATTTAGAAAGGAAAATAAAATACATATGTATATAACCTCTAAGTATGTAACATGAGTGCGCACACACACACACACACATACACATATATATATAATTTACTTATAACTATATATATATAATTTACTTATAACTATATATATAAAATAACTGTACCAATAAATATAATATCCTAGGATACATGCATACCCATATACATATATATATGTACCACTATCCATGGGTAATTATTTGTACCCGTTAAATCTCATATCCAAGTAATTCATGCGACTCATGAGTTTGGTCCAAGACTACCATCCATATGCATTAAAATGAAATAAAATAAAATAAAATAAAATAAATAAGATAACATTTAAACCATTTAATTTTTAGCAAAGAATTACAAGAAAACACCTAACATCTAAACAACAAATACACATCATTTAGCCCACAATTTAAATAAATAATTTATTTTAAATAATCACATAAACAACTAATTCAAATAAACAATTAAACAAATAATTAATTAATTAATTAATTAATTTAAAAATATAAATAAAACAATTAACTAAATACCGACACAATCCTTTTAAAATTAGGGATATTACAATCTTGCAGCTCCTTCAGCAGTGTCAAATGTGACTAACAAAACCTTAGCAGCTTTGTATGGGTCTCTAATTTCAGCTACCCACTTGCCCGATGACCTCTGTCTCACTCCTCTGCATTTCCTCCTTGCTAGATTGTCATATGTGGGAGTGTATGTTTATGCAATCTCTGTTGTTTGTGTGTTTGTTGTCCTAATGCGTGAACATTCTGTAACTGCATAAATTATATACCAAATAATTAAAAGAGGTATTTTGAAGATTCAGGGTATTAGACATGTACTAAAACATTAATCCCTCTACCACTTTATATTAAAAAAATATTTTTTTTATCAAATAAAAAATAATTGACAAAATTGAATATATTTTATATTAAAATAATTTTTATTAGTATTTAATATGTAGCATTATATAACATAAAATATGAGTTTTATTTGAAATGAATAGTAACTCTGAACTAACAATAGTGCAAACGTTTCTTCGCAATAATAGAGAAACTTTTTATACATATATTTTCTCATTTATTCACAAAAATAGAAAAGGTTTTTTGTATTATTAAACATGAATTTACTTTATTTTTATTTTTATTTTTATTTTTTGGCCTTTTTAAAAATTGACAACATAAAACAAAAACAATGTTTCAGGTTTCCAAAAGCACTTTTTTGGCCTTTTTAAAAATTGACAACATAAAAACAAAAAAATGTTTCAGGTTACCAAAAGCACCCTAACAAATTATATTTTTTTGGAAAGGTGTACATAACATTTATTTCGTGTGTAGTGTAGAAAGGAGAGTGGGGCTACCATAACACTTATTGCAGGGGCTTCTTTTACTTTGTTTACATAGAAGAAAAAATTTCATTTATTCATTTTCTTTTTATTCTGTACGTCTCTGTTTTTATCAAAAAAATAAAAAAAAATAAAAAAATAAAAAAAACAACCACAACCTTTTTCACACAAATCTTTCTTCAATGCTCACTGCAAGTTTCCCACTCCATTTCCCGGGATTTCGGGTACTAGGAAAATGATTTTGTTGCCGAATCAAGTAGCTGACTCTAGGAGCAAATGATTCAAAGCTCTCTGATGCATTGAAGCGGGAATCGAGCATTTATGAAAAGGTTCTCTTGGACCAATTAAACCTTCGAGGGAACACAAACTCTTCAGGCCACAACCAGCTTGTGGAACAGATCCTCAACCAGTGTCTCGACCTTGTCAAGACTGAAAAACTCTACAGCTTGTGCTCCATTTTGCTGCAGCTTGTGGGCATCAATCCGTGGTGGAGTCTATGCTTTGTCATGTCAAAAACCTCGCAGGCCCCTCTTCTGGAAATGACCACGTGGATTTACGAATGGAAGAAAAATGGAGAAGATAAGTCTCCCCTGTAAATAAAAACCTTTCAATTTGTTTCTCTGGAAATCCCAAGTAGGGGAAAAAAGAGGTTAGAATATCTAATTAATTGTTTCATTTTATGTATTCCCAAAAATGAATGAAAGAAGACAACCAGGCAAAAATCAAAATACTCCACAAATTAAAGAGATCTAATTTTAAGAAAGTACAACTAAAGCTACTATGTTCATCTTTATTTTCTGGAAGGCATTGCACAGTTTTGACACCACCTTGAGCACCTCGATGGAGAAAGTCTGGAAATAGATCTTACCATCGGCAATTCTTGCACGACTTCATTGCTCTCAAACTTGAACCCACCACCTTAAGATCGTCAACGGGAGCTTATATAAAATGAATTGTTGTCATTGCACAAAATCTAAATTCAGTACACTGCGGGATATGAGGGCATACCCTCATTAGAGATATCCAGCCAAATAGGCCAGTGAAAAACCCCACTTCCAATACACATGAAAGGAGGTGAAGAAAAGAAAAATTAAAAGCCTAAGAGTCAACATGAAGATCATCCATAGAGGAAATTGAAGCCACATCCATCACCTCAAAACTACTGATCTAGCCAAATCAGTAGCACTTCTCTGACAATTCTGATGTAGTCTTGAGTTCCTTTCCTTCCAAATGGCCCAGAAAGAAGTGGACAGCAGCATAGACATCATCTTTGAGGTCTCAGCCTTCTGCACACACCATATCAACAGATCTTCAAAGGACTGGCAGTGCATATTCCATCCAAACCAATAGTTGAAGCAATCCCAGAACTCAGAGGCAAAATCACAGTCCAAGAACATATGTTATCTGCTATCCAACCCATGATAACAGTTATGGCATATAGCAGCAAGTGGAAAGCCCCTCTTTTGCAGGTTTGATAGTGAAGGATGTTTATCATGAAGAATGATGCAAGTAGTGAAATTAGTGCTGATCCTAGCCTTGTTCCAGCACACATTTCCACAGAAACTTGAGGATGATGAGTTCTGCATGCATCCCATGCCCTTTTAAAAGGAAAGTTCCCCTTGTTCCATAAACATTTATCATTTTCCTGATGGGGGGAATAGAAGAAATGTACTCTCTCATTTCCTGAAGCTGCGGGTGAGATAAACTGTCCAAAATACAGGTGAGATCCTGGATCAAGGTTGCTAGTTTTGAGTCCCTGTCAAGAGAAGACATCGTCACTATTCTATGTCCAAACTTCTGCACAAGAGTTTGTCCCTCACACCATGGATACTGAAATAGGCTAAACTTATTACCATCAGCTATAGAGAGTGAGATACTCTGAAGCATTCACTCTCTTACTGACAGCATGTGTTTCCAAATTATAGAACTAGATGACCTAGGGACAGCATTCCAAAAGTTAGCTCCTCTGGAATATTTATCCCAAAACCACCTAACCCATAAATTCTCCTAGTCATTAATACAATCCCAGGCTAGAGAGAAAGCTGCAACAGATTGAAGATCAGAAAACACTCTTAAGACCAAACCCCTCTTCAGCTTTAGGTCCAGTTACTAGCTCTCAACTCATGTGATGCATCTTGGAGGCTCTATGAGTGCTTCCCCACAAGAACCTCTTGAGTTTTCTCTGAATGGAGTTGGAAACAGCAACAGGCAGTCTAAAAACTGAACACCAATACAAGATCATTGGATAAATAACAGTCTTAATCAGTTCAGTTCTTCCTGCAAGAGACAACATCTTATTTGACTAAGTAGATAGCTTGAGAGTAATCCTATCTAAAAGGTCATTACAGGTAGCTATAGAAAGACCATGATAAATCAATGGTGTCCCCAAGTACTTGATAGGGAATTTGCCTTCCCTAAATTGCAGAATTCTAAGTAGCATATGCTTTCTTCTAATTGCCTTTGAGAAGAAGATAGTAGATTTTTGAGAGTTAACATGAAGCCCAGAGAATGTAGCAAAATCTTCCAATACCTTCTTGACTGTCACAGCAGAACCCACATCAGCTTTCACCACAAATAATAGATCATCTGCATATAGGTGGTGGCACAAAGAGGAGAAAATTTTGCTAGCAGCTTTAGAGGGACTTAAATTACCTGCGAAATTCTTGCAAGTATGATAATATCATTCACTTCAAAATGAGAGAACAAAATATCATTTTCAGTAGCATGTGAAAACAACAGAATGAATAATTACTGAATGCAACCAAACAACCCATATGATCATCCACACCCCAGGCTAGTTGGAGCCCATTTCTTAGATACAGCTAACCACAGATTTTACTTATAATCCTTGAAATATAAATTGCAAAGGGAACAATTAGTCAGCTTTTCACCAATATCCCCTTGAAAGCCCATTACTTTTATTTGTGTCAGCTCCATCATCCTCACCTAGCTTATCTTGCTTACTGGCAAAACTCCGATAAAACTGCAAAACCTTTGGGTGTGCCTTAACCTTTGAGGGATTGAAACCGGATATATGAAGGCCATCTAAGCTTCTCACGCGAGAAAGTGCAACATAGACCATCCCGCAACCAAAAGCCCTAGATAGATCAGTGTGAATACTGTCAAGTGTCATGCCTTGGCACTTGTGAATGCTTATCGCCCAAGTCAATATGAGAGGGATTTGCTTTCGTGTGGCTTTAACTTGTTCACCCTCCATTACTACCCATCTCTCTGGATAAATCACCAGCTCAGGCCCTGAATCAAATTTAACAACTGGCAACAGTCCTTTGCGACACATGTTCGTAATATCCTTATCATCATATGACTCGTAGAAACTAATAACTGTGCTGGTGGCACCATTCACCAATTTACGCCCAACATTTATATTCTAACTCAGCATGACTCTTGCCCCTACACAGACTTCAAGTGTATTGGGTGCAGTCCCCTGTTTGAGTTGCTTCTTCCAAGGGTCCTCACCACTATCAATAGCAAGATATTCAACAGTTTGCTCACCCAAGCTCACCATTTGCTTATCGTTCACTCTATTCACATCTTTATTCATAGGGTAGAACCGTACCATAAAAGAATCTGGCTCTGTTTCCAAGGAACATTGTTCTATGAGCTTCAAGTCTTCGGGATCACACTCTCCTCTTCTTATACCTTGAAGTAACTTGATTAGTTGTCCATCCGACTGCCTAAAAATTTTCCTAAGTTCCACCTGCATATTAAAGCTTGAATTCCAACAATCGGCCTCAAATGCAAATTCCTTTCCCCCTTTTAGTTTCTGCTTATCCAGAATGGGTGGTAACTGAAAGAAATCTCCACTCACAACTAGTTGTATTCCACCCCACACCATGTTTTTAGATGCATGTTCATCATCTCTGGTCTCTCTTGCAATGTATTCAAGTTTATCAAAAAACTCAGCCTGGACCATGCTAATTTCATCAATAACCAATGCCTTAACTCTATTCCACCTCTTGTAAGCCCTCTCATCCAAAAGAATCCTATTGGGCAAAGTTTTGGAATCGGCCGCAGCAAGCCCAACGCCGGCGAATGAGTGAAGGGTCTGCCCCTCAAGAGCACAAGCAGCCACACCAGTGGACGCCGTCACGAAAACGTGAGATGGGCCGTGAATTTTGTTGAGCAATTTGATGATATGGTGGACTAAAATGGTTTTTCCAGTACCTGCAGAGCCGGTGACGAAAACCGACTCGCCCCTGGAAATGGCAGCCAACACTTGTGACTGTTCGTCAGTCCACTTAATTCTGGTACTTTTAGGGGTTGTGTGGTTATTTCTCTTGTTCTTGTACTAATTCGAGGCCATTTTGTGCTTTTGCTAGTGGTTTTGGCGCTGACAGATATTTCAGACATGAACAACTTCATACTTCTACTCTCTCTCTCCCCCCTAAACGAACTCTTATCAGACAAGAAGAACTTCGTACTAGATAACAAACTATCATCAGACAAGAACAATTTCATACTTGATACTAAAACACACTCTCTCTGATACAAAGTCTCAACTCTTCTGGGTTTTCATAATTTCATCCAACAATTAGGGTTTCATTGAGATGAAGGATGATAATGGTGACAAAATCAGTGGAATTTGTTGTCATTCAAATGATGATTTTAACAAATTGGAATAAAACCGAAACATAATAAGAAGAAGAAGAAGAAGGAATTGCTTACAAATGGGAGTTGGGTATCGTTTTCCTTAAGATTTCAATCGATGAACCGATGCTGCTTCCATCGTCCTCTGTCCTTTTTCCGAATAAAACTATCCTACCCTAGAACCGGTTAATCCACCCTGGGCTTTACCAATTATTTGTTTCTTGTCGTTTTTTCCTTCAGAAATTCTAATTTCAATACCAAAAGAATAGTTTATCTAAATAAAAGAATCGAAATTGAAAATTATTTAAAAATGAATTTCAAACCCTATAAAATAAAATAGCATATTTCTAATTAAATTCATTGAATTTCAATTCCATTTTATTTAATTCCAATTCTCCGTTACCAAATGCACCTTTATAATTTTGGTCCTAATAAGCCTAATTTTCACGATCACCATTATCCCACTTCAATCTTGCACGGTGGAGGTTAAAAGATAGTTATAATTGCATAAATATTCTTCTAGCACTCAATAGTGTATCTTATTTAGTTTTGATACAAAATATTAAACGAATAAGAAGTATGAATTATATTGAAGGTCAAAGGGTGAGATTAGTTTTTTGTTTTGAGGATTAAGCAATGTATTAATAATAAGAGTAAAATGTACAAAGGCCTTCGGCCAAAAAAGCCCGAAGGCAGACAGGCCCAAATGATGCAGCAACAGAAGCAAATAAGCCCAACAAAAAAACAAGCCTAATAACTTCGTTTAACAGACTAAAGGAAAATCCGTTAAAGGAAGGTATCAAGCTATCAGTCCGGTGACATAGCCCTTGATCGGCAAAGTGAATCTCCTTCCATTAGCTAATCCGGCGGTTTCGGAGCGGGACGACAGCAATCCGGCGATAGATTCCAAGCTTGTAGAATAGATCTGGCGGTATCACAATCCTTAAGGCAGCGCAACTGGAGAAGGTTTGTGATTGTATTTCACACTTTGGCCAACACCATTCTCTGTGAAGCTGCTTTCCCTTTGAAAACTCGGTTATTGCGTTCTTCCCAAATATGGTAAACCATAGTTGAGAGACAAATCTTCCGAAGCATGTTGGTCGGAGAGCTACCCCTCCATCTCTGAAAAAGGGTGAGATAAGTTGCTAAGCATAACCACCGCCGCTCTAAATTTTCGAAGGAATCACAACCCTAAGAAGAGAGGTCAGTTAACTCGTTGTGTCTTTCCCTTACACTGTCTTTCCCTTACACTGTGTCGGATCGGTACTCACCAGTGCCAGTCTCGTCATCACTTCTCTTGTCTTGCATGACTCGTGTCCAATTTTGGATCGTGCATAATTTCGCATTGACAAGTTTAATGAATAAGAACTTGATTTTTGATGTTGCGTCATTTTATTGCCTCTAATCTTAGTGATTGTAAGAACTTATGCTAAAATTTTGAACTTCATCGACTTCTTTGATAAAATACAATTATGCTTTAGTAGCTCTAGCTGAAAATTATGTCTCAAATTCTTATTATAATAGATTTCTATTTTAGAGTTGTATTATGTTACGAAATATCTTATTAAACAACTCTTGAACTATAAAAAATTATAATCCTTGTCCAAAATGGTTAAAGCCACACTACACCCCCTACCTCAAGTTAGGAATAAATCCTAGATACTTCAAGAAGAAACGAGCTCCAAATTCGAAAATAATAGAGGGGTTTCGTAGCCCGAAGTGTCCCCTTGATTTCTACCTTCTATGGCTAGTCAAGAAGACCAACGGAAGAGAGCAAAAAAAAAAAAAAAAAATTAGTATACTAATATTAGCACAGCCAAATAAAAAATAAAATAAAAATTAGCCCACTCAATCAAGTTCAAGTCAACTCAGCCACCATACTAAAATTAGGCCACCCCAACTAGAAATTCGGGATCTGCCCTCGGAAGGAAGGGAAATGAAGCTTTAGGTTATATGAAAATGGTGACAATGGTGTGTTTGGGAGAAAGAAGAAGATGAAGGTTAGGTAAGGGGAGAGAGAGAGAGGTAGATATTTAGTACAATAACTCTACACACCTACACTAGTGCGCACGCACACACTCTCTCTCTCTCTCTCTCTCTCACACACACACACACACACATCCACCGTACACTTGTCACACATCCACCCCTACACATATCACATATTCAACCCCACACTTGTCACACATCCAACCCCTCGGCTCCCACCAACTTTCCCAAATCGCTCAAAAGCCCCAAATGAAAATATCTCAAAAAATAAAGCTGTAAATGCCCCAAAATATGATATGTATGACAAACATGTCCCTCATGAAATAAAAGATGAGTGTCAGAAACTATTCCCGAACACTTGACCCAACTCGGCCCACATAACCCGAATAATGCAATAAAATAAATATGATAAGAAAATAAAAAGGGAAGGGTCCTTACAATTTAAGGTTAATCCTATTCATTCTCAGCACAGTTTGTCCTTTCAGCAATTTATGCTGCAAATTCAATTAATGAAAGAATGTATCTATGGCAGCATCTACTGAATCAGTCTCAAAATGTCAATGGTGCATAGCTTACCATTGGTGACTGGAATGTTGTGAAGGCTCACGTTGATAAGGTTGGGGGCAAGTGTGTTCCTCAGTCTATTTTGAATGAATTCAATTTGGTCATTGATTCCTGTGATTTATTTGAGGTTCCTGCTGTGAATGGAAATTGGATTTGGACAAATAAACAGTTTGTTTGTAGAAGAATTAGTGCCAAGATGGAAAGGGGCATGGTCAATCCTGATTGGTTGGACATATTCCCCAATAACAAAGTTATGTTATTTTGTTCTTCCTTCTCTGATCACTATGGTCTAGTGCTTTCTTCCTCCATAAATTGTAGTGCTGGCCCAAAACCTTTCTAGTTTTTGAAAGTTTGGTGCTTGATGGATGAGGTTGAGCAGTTTTGTGTGTTTTGTTTGGAGTCAACATCTAGCATCAAATCTTATAAACAACCTGCAGAAGGAATTAAGACAAGCAAAAGAGGCTGTGAAAGCTTGGAATAACTCACATTCCAGAAGCTGTGCAAGAATGCTGGAAGTTGTTAAATGATGTTCAAGGTCTTTTGCATTGTGATCCTCTAAATGAAACTCTTGTGCAGCTTAAACAGAGAAGAATAGCGGAGTTAGAAAATGCTCTTAAACTTGAATAAATCCTTTGGGCTCATAAATCCAGGCTCCAATGGTCACGGACAGTGACAAATGCACTTCCTTCTTCCATAACAAAATGAAACAAAGAAGAGCTTTCAACTCAATTGTCCTTCTGCGGAATAATGAAGGGGAACGCACTAGAGACCAGAGGAGAATTAGAGAATGGTTGGTGCAGTACTACACTGACTTCTACAAGGCTAGTACAGTTTGCTCTCATGCTTTCTCAGTTTCTAGAGCTGTTCTTAGCCCTGAAGACAACATATGTCTTCAATGTCTAGTTACTGAAGAAAAATCGAAGGGGTTGTTTTGGCTGTTTTTGCAGATAAAGCTTCAGGTCCAGATGGTTTTCCAAACAGGGTTTGTCAGCAATTTTGGGGTACTATCAAGGGGGATTCGGTGGCTACAATCAAGTATTTTTTTCACTCATACCAATCTCATGGGCTTTTTAAAACCATATTCTGATCTGGTATGGATTTGGTGACATATGGACAGGTTGGGTGACGGAGTGCATTTCTACTCCACATTTCTTTGTCCTTATAAATGGTATTCCCGAGGGTTTCTTCAAATCAAAAGAGGGCTTAGACAGGAGTGCCCTCTATCCCCTTTGTTATTTTGTCGGATTATTTCTCACAAATAGTTAATAGAGTTGTTCAGGAAGGACATCTGAAGCTTTGTCACACAGTCCAGAAAATGCACTCTTATCTAAATCTCATGTTTTATTTGCAGATGATCTATTCATGATTCTGGAGGCAAGTATATCTAATGCCTCTCATCTAAAGGTGCTTTTTCATCAATTCTCTGACTATTCAGGCTTACATGTGAACCCTCAGAAGAGGAGTATTAAAAGTATCTTGAACTTCTCAGTGGATTTACCTAGGCTTACCTCTGGTTGATAGAAAGCTCAGTGAATCCTTGTCCATCCTTGGTGGACAACATCAATTCCAAGCTTTCCTCGTGGAACTCCTTCAATCTTTCTTTGGTTAACTCTGCATCACCTCATACTACTACTTTTGGTCTGCAGTGTTTTCTCTCCCTCATGGCATTCAAAATTCAATTGAGAGAAAGGTTATAAATTTCCTATGGACGGGTGATCATGATCAACGAACAACTCCTCTTTTCAGCTGGGGGAAGGTTACTTTGCCGGAAAAGGGAAGGAGGTTTTGGGTTGAGGTGCATGCAGAGCATTTCTACAGCCAGTGCTGGTGTGCTTCTCTGGGAGTTCCTTACTCATAAAGAAGCTTTGTGGGTCAGGTGGTTTAGACACAAAGTATCTGAAAAAATCAAACTCCTGGCTTGTCAATGGCAAGCAAACTGATTCTGACATTTGGAAATCGATCCTCTGTTATAGACTTAATAATGGAGCAACACACAGCTTGTTTTATGATCCTTGCTGGCAATTTTCTACAACAGAGATTTGGATTAAGAAGACTTATACTAGGCTTAAAGGTTGGGGACACAGTCAATATACTGAGGCATGAAGCTGGGTGGAGAATTCCACTACATTGGCCTAATGAGATCCTGGTTTGGTTGAATGATAATGCTAATACAGCTGCAGTTGATGAATTGATATTGACAGCTGGCTGGTGGGTTTTTGTAAAACACTTTGTTGCTTTTGTTATTCTTTTTCTTTGATTTTTTTGGGACTCTTTAGCTTTTAATTGGTTCGTAGTATATATTTGTTTCGTAGTATCGGTCGTGGTGTAACAAACTCGGACAAAGTCAGTGTAAACTGACCGATATGGATCGCGTATCGAACTTGAAAAATGATCACGTATCGGACAATACGGCGAAGATCATATTATTGTTGTGTTGTTGTCTTTTGTACAGTGTTGTCAGTATTTATAAAACTTTCACATTCAGGATGGACAAAAAAAAAAAAAAAAAAAAAAATTTGAGATTCAAAACGAATTACAAATGAATTTCAAAGTCCATCGAAATAGCAGATTTCAAATTGAAATTCCTGATTTCTTTGAATTTCAATTCCATATAATTAAAATTATGATTCAATTTCTGTTCTACATTTCCAAACCCACCTTAGACTTTTGGTGATATTAAGTCTAATTTCCACAATCATCATCTTCTTTACGCATGAATGATTATGTTCAACAATGAATTATATTATTTAACAAACGTCATTTTTTACTTTGAAAACAAAACGGGGCATTACAAGAAGTTGTAGTCAATAATTTCTCTTCTTTAAATTCCTCACATGAACACAAAAGTGGTATAGGAGGTCATTTACCTGTCCTTAAGCTTAGGCCGTGGTTACCATGGATAATTCTGATAAGCTTAGGGCAGTTTAGCATGCGAAGTGTATTAGGCGTGTTCTGTTGTAGGATTGTTTTGAGAATTGAAAATTTGTTTTAGCTCCTCTGTTACAGTACCAAAACACACCATATCACCAATTTATCAAAACAAATTAACCAAAAAATATAATATGTTATCAACTATTCCAAATCAATATCAGCCATTCCAAACATGATTTGTAATTTGAATACCAATATCAAAAAAACAATATTATAACACTATCCAAACAGGTCTTAGCAACATCGGTGTTTCGGTCCATTTTGAAAGGGTATAAATGATTATATTTTCAGAAAAAAGGAACTGGGATCCTCACCATATATGGAAGAGGCTATTTTAGTTGCATCAGTGTTCTTGAGTCATGTTAGCAGTGTTTGGCCTTCTACTTTGTTGATGGTTTTGAATTTTCAAATCATTTAATATAATGAAGTTTGTTAAAAAGGTAAAAAAAATAAAATATTCATATCTGAAATTTAATTCATTTATGTGTATATGTCTGCAGTATTATTCTCATATTCCTTAAATATTTAAGTATTCTTAAATATTTATATATACATATTTAACTTTTCTAATTTCGATCCCAAATGAATAGTTTATAAAAATAAAAGAATTGAAATTTAATTACAAATAAATTTCAAATTCCATCGAAATATCAGATATCAAATTGAAATTCATGAAATTCAGTTCTGCATTATCTTCTGATAGGGAAAGTCCAGAGATAGATCTTACCATCGGCAATTCTTGCACAACTTCATTGCTCTCAAACATGAAACGAACTCGTTAAGCTCGTCAACCAGAGCTTATACATTCGAAATGGACCGAATGAGGAAGAACAAAATATCATTTTGAGTACTATGTGAAAACAACGGAATGAATAATTACCTAATGCAACCAAATAAATCATATGTTTGAAAGGCTAAACGATGAGCATATATATTTGTAGTCCTATGTTTCTTTTGGGTACTGGTATTGAAATTTGAAGAGATAATTACTTTGTTTCGTTCCTCCACAGGTTATGATATGTGAGACCTCAACTAAATTACTGCCATTACTTTTAATTTTTTCAGCGTCAAAGCCCTTTTTGAGACCTTGTATCTTCGGTGGTCTTGCCATTGCCGCTTCTTTTAGTATGGTCAGATCGCCGGAGCGATGGCTACATCATCCTCATCTTGCTTGCCGGCAAAACTCTGATAATCATCCTCTTCTTGCTTATCTTGCTTGCCGGTGAAACTCTGATAAAACTGCAAAACCTTTGGGTGCGCCTTAACCTTTGAGGGATTGAAACCGGATACATGAAGGCCAGCTAAGCTTCTCACGCGAGAAAGTGCAACATAAACCATCCCAAAACCAAAAGCCCTAGATAGATTAGTGTGAAGACTGTCAAGTGTCATACCTTGACACTTGTGAACGCTTACCGCCCAAGCCAATATGAGAGGGATTTGCTTTCGCGTGGCTCTAACTTCTTCACCCTCCATCACTAACCATTTCTCCGGATAAATCACCATCTCAGGCCCTGAATCGAAATTAACTACAGGCAATAGTCCTTTCCAACACAATTTTGTAACATCCTTATCCTTTTTTGGGTGGAAACCTACAACTGTGCCGGTGGAACCATTCACCAATTTAAGCCCAACATCTATATTCTTACACAGCATGACCCTTGCCCCTTCGCAAACTTCAAGTGTATCGCGTGAAATCCCCTGTTTGAGCTGCTGCTTCCAAGGATTCTTACCACGATCAATAGCACAATATTCAACAATGTCCACACCCAAGCTCACCAATTGCTCTTCGTTCACTCTATTCACATCTTTATTCCTAGGGTAGAACCTTACCACAGAAGAATCTGGCTCTGTTTCCAAGTTACATTGTTTTAGGAGCTTCAAGCCTTCGGGATCACACTTTCCTCTTCTTATACCTTGAAGCAACTTGATTAGTTGTCCATCTGACTGCCTAAAAATTTTCGTAAGTTCCACCTGCACATCAAAGCTTGAATTCCAACAATCAGCCTCAAATGCAAATTCCTTTCCCCGCTTTAGTTCCTGCTTATCCAAAATGGGTGGTAACTGAAAGAAATCTCCACTCACAACTAGCTGTATTCCACCCCACACCTTGTTTTTAGATGCATGTTGTTTATCTCTGGCCTCCCTCGCAATGTATTCAAGTTTATCAAAAAACTCAGCCTGGACCATGCTAATTTCATCAATAACCAATGCCTTAACTCTATTCCACCTCTTGTAAGCCTCGTCATTACAAAGAACCCTATTGAGCAAAGTTCTGGAATCGGCCGCAGCAAGCCCAACCCCAGCAAATGAGTGAAGGGTCTGCCCCTCAAGGGCACAAGCAGCCACACCAGTGGACGCCGTCACAGAAACCTGAAGTGGGCCATGGATATTTTCAAGCAATTCGATGATATGATGGACTAAAATGGTTTTACCGGTACCTGCAGAGCCGGTGACAAAAACCGACTCGCCCCTGGAAATGGCAGCCAACACTTGTAACTGTTCGTCAGTCCACTTAATTCCGGTACTTGTAGGGGTTGTGGGGTTACTCATTTTACCACTACCCGCAAAGCCAGTTACCGACTCACTACGGGAAATGGCAGCCAACACTAGTGAATGGTTATTTCTCTTATTCCTCTTGTTGTCTCTTATTTGAGACCATTTAGTGCTTTTGCCAGTGGTTGTGGTGCAGAAGTATCTGCACAATGCTATTGCAGACGAGAACAATCTCATACTGCTACTCTATCTCTCTAAAACAAACTCTTATAAGACAAGAACAACTTCGTACTTCATACAAAAACACAATGTCTCTAAAACAAACTCTTTTATCAGATCATACTTCATACTAAAACACACGCTCTTTCTAAGACAAAGTCTCAACTTTTCTGGGTCTTCATAATTGCATCCAACAATTAGGGTTTCATAGAGAGATAAAAGAATGATAATGGCGATAAAATTACAGGAATTTGTTGTCATTCAAATGATAATTTTAACAAAGGCGGATAAAATCGAAACATAAGAAGAAGAAGCAGAAGGAATTGGTTCCCAAATGGGAGATGCGACCGTTGGATGTCAATCGATGAACCGATGCGGCCGCTATCGTCCTCTCTTTTTCCGAATAAAAAGTTCCTTCTAGGGTTTGCTTATTACTGGGCCGCGTTTGTTGTGATCGCTGGGATTGGGGACTTTCCTATCCTAGAACCGGTAAATTAATCCACCCTGGGCTATTCATAAAAGCTAATAAGCCTTTTGGTGACCTAGGGTCCTTAGGATTTGTTTCTTTTTGTTTTTTACTTCACAAATTCTAATTTCAATTCTCCATACCAATTACACCTATATAATTTTGGTCGCAGTAAGTCAAATTTTCCCTATCGTCATTATTCCACTTCATTGATGCACTTAAAAGATGGTTATAACTGCGTAAATATTCTTATGGGGAAGTGTAGAAAACACTCCGAAATATATTTTTTTTGTAACACTTTTACTCCTTATTTGAAAAAGTGTGTAATAAATATCCCTAATCTTTTAAAATTGTGCAAAATTAACCCTCCGTTAGAAATTTGATATAAATTATTACTGTAATTCCTATTTTGCCCTTTTATTCTTTCCAAAATGCCCATACAATCATCATCTTCAATGCAATCATCCTCTTCAATGCAATCATGAGGTCTGCCACAAGCAATTAGCATCTCCACCCAACCACAAAGACCCTGTGTGAGATTTGGCAAACCAGTAGAAGCACTAAACTCAATTACCCAAAAAAAAAATGTATAACCACTACACCTTAAATTCTAGAAACGAGAAGGTTGACATAACTGCATATAAATCATAAAATGAACCAGTGATTTGCAAGAATAATATGAGTGGGTGATTTGCAAGAATAATATGAGTGGGAGAATATATATTGAAGCGGAGAACTGTCTGGTGATTGAAAGGCTGCCGTAGAAAAGATTCTAGAGAGAGAAAGAGAAATGGAAGCAGCAGCGGCCAAACCAATCATCAAAGTTGCAGCTCTCTGCGGATCGCTTCGCAAAGCTTCCTTAAATCGAGGCCTCCTCCACTATGGTACCTCTATCTCTAGTCTCTACCCATCTATGCTCTTGTGTGGGTGTGTATATATATATATATATATGAGTGTGTGTGTGTGTGTGTGTGAACTTTTTTTCTCTTATGGTTTCATATGAGTTGAATTTGGATTTTGATCATCCTTTAGTGTTGTTGATTGAAGCGATTAAGCTATCCAGAGAATCCATTTAATTTATATCATAAAAACTAACATGCATCTCAATTAATTGTATTCCTCCACAATCATATTAAATTTATTTAAATTCAAATAATAATTTAAATAATTTAACCCAATTCTATTTAATTAATTTAACCTTTTAAATTACATTTCATATTTGTTAATATTTACAAAGTGATGCAAATTGATCTCAACCATATCAAGGAAAAAAAACCAAAACCAAATTTCATTTAATATTAACAAATGATGCAACCTTTGACTTTTATTTTTTCTTCCTCGTTCGACGTGCCCATGTGCTCTCACATAAACACCAAACTGATCCAAATAGTACTAACCATATCAAAAAAAAAAAAAGTTTCAATTAATACTAACAAATAGGAAATCCTCGGTCGGCGCGCATGGAAAGAAAACACAGATTTCGTACATGCATATAACTAGTTCATAGTAATTTGATTCATGTTCCTGGTTCCGCGTGCATAGGAAAACATAAATATGATTTCATGTAATCCATATAAATTGTTTCATTCTAAAAATAATCCCCTCCTTTTGCGCGCACACCGAACTAAATTAATATCATTTAATTTATACAAACTATTTTATGTTAAACCCATAATATATTACAACATATGATTAAAATACAAAATATTACAATACATGAAAATTTAATTTATCAAAATATGAAAATTATCACAAATCCATTATTAAAACACATGAATTGAAAATTTTCAAATAAATCCAAGTAATTAGATTCAATTAATTTATTTAAAGAGCCTAAAATTAATCTAGCATGCATAGGGTATGAATCAAATGAGAAGAGAAGAATTAAAACTTGCTTTTAGGGATTTGATAAAAAAAACCCTAACCTCCTTCTTCCTTTTTCTCTTACTTCGTCTTCCTTCTTTCTCTCTCTAAAAATATATTACGTGATATATTTTCTAACCCCTTTTTCTAACCTATAACTATATATTTATAGACTAAATACAATAACCTAATCCTTTTCCCAATCCAAGTCAACTTAACAGAGAAAATAATAAATATTAAAATATTTAAAAGGTAACTGAAATATATGTTACTTATTATCTATGTATATTCTTTATATATATATAATATATAAATATTTACTAAAGGACTTTCCTTATATCTATATATATTTATTAAATATACATATACAACTTTTCATGGGTAATTATCCGTACCCATTAAACCTCTTATCCAAGTAGTTCATGGAGCCTAATTGGTTGGTCTATTACTACTATCCATATCTAATTCCTTAAAAATATAAAAATAAAACAATTAAATTCCTAAACAAATACACATCATCACACACAATTTAATTTAAACCAATAAATCTAAAACATGTTTCAGCACACAATTTAACTTGAAGAAATAATTCAATTAACACCTAAATAATTAACTCAATTAAACAACTAAACAATTAGCCAAGAAATCAAATAAATAATTAAAGTGCAATTAAAATAATTTTAAAAAAAATACCGAGACTATCTTTTTAAAATCAGGGGTATTGTGATACCCCCGAATTTTCGGATGTGGGTTGGTCAGGCTCACGCCCGATTACCCGAGGATATCAAATCAATTAGCAATAATCGAATACAGAATACAATTAATGAAACAGGAATAAATAAAACTGCTGAAAAGAAACTAGAATGATAATCCAGAACTGAAAATCTCAAAATAAAATTTTATAAATAAAGTATTAATCCGATAGATCCAAATTTTCCAATTCCAATACAACTCGGGAATCCATATGGTGGACCCCTAATCAAAACCAATACTGGAAGGCGAACAACTGAAAAAATGTCAACTGCTAAACCATAAAGAAACCTCCTACGCCGTCGGTAGAATAAGTAGTCGTCTCTGCTTAGCACGAACAAGCTCTAAGACCTGGAATCGTCCGTTACCTGAAAAATAATAGTGGGTCAGGCCCACGAACAAGTTCTATCCTAATTACAATCCAAATAGAGACCCGATACGTAGATACATCATAGATGTCCCAACTATATCTATATAGTCCGTAATAGATAAATATATATCCACACTACATGACTCTCACTAAACTATGCTGAGAGTCTCAACCTGAATAGAAGGCAACATGCAATACGCACCTGAGTGGGCATGACTACCTAAGCCTAACAGGGTATACCTTAACCAACATAGCTAGTTACGTATCCTACTGCATATACGCACCCTAACCGTCGACTATGAGACTCAAGCTCAGATCGCGGTACCATAATAATATATATAAAATCCGTTCACATTTATCCATAAGAAATCCAGTAAGTCATTCAGCGTATTCAACTGCACCGACTCATATATATAAGGAGGATTTTATTTAACAACCCGTACCCTTATTCCAAAATAGGTAGGATTTTAACAACTGGTGCTAATCCAAACCTAGTATGTTACCGTCCCATACCGGTACATACAATCCTCCATATCCGTGTAAATTACATCAATTACATAATAATTTAGCAATTTACAGTCCAAAACCATTCCAAATAATTGCAGAAGAGTATTTAGTATTTCAACAATTTAAATCCAAAACCATGTAAATTTTAACCGATACATAACAGTTTAGCAATTTACAATCCAAAACCAAAATCCAAATAATTGCAGAAACGTATTTAAAGTTTCAGCAATTTAAATCCAAGAGTTAAACCATATAGTTGCAGGAAACAATTAATAATTCAGCAACTACCATCTAGAGCATGCATAGATCAAATCTAATATATCAATGACTCTATCATGCATTTAAAATAAATTCTATAATTATATTATAGTCCAATAAATCAGTACATTAATTTAAGCAATTTAATTCCTTCCATTCGGTAATAGCGTACTAAGTTGTATACTTGTATTCTGTCTTATCTTTTGGCACAGAGCCATGCACTATGCCCCAAGTCCAATTTATTAATTAAAAAGACTTCACTATGCTTTTAAACTTAATTTAGAATCATTATATAGCACCCTAAATTGTCAAATTAAAACTAGACAATAAACTTCCTTCTAGCCGTTAACCGCACGCAAAGTTGTTAACTAGTGCACTGTTAATTCCATTCACTTAGAGGTCAACCTTACTCAATTTAAAGATTTAATAACACCCTAAACCAACCTTATAATCCCTCTGTAAAACCCCAGAGTCAACAAAACAGTTTCCATGCTCCAACAGTAACAATATAGTTCGTAAAAAAAAATATTCAGAAAACACTATTGAGAAGAGCCTTCTCTAAAAAACTGAAGAAGGCTCTAAACCACCTAGAGCCTTCTCTAAAAAAACTGGAGAAGGCTCTAAGTTACAAGAGACGTCTCCAACTAAGGGAGAGCCTTCTCTAAATTTTTTAAGAGCCTTCTCTAAGGTTTCAAGCTTATGTAACACACGCTGTAACACCCAAAACCACCCAAAACCACAGAGCTTGCTCCATTCACTTAAATGAAAACCCCTCTGTACCTCTAAAACCAGTTTAAACACATG